AGCAAATGTAGGGAAGAGTTCCTGCCCACGGTCACTCCCACTCAACACAATGCTGGAAACACGCAGGCCTCCACAAATGCATTTGAAGTCCACATAGGGTCGGCCACCAAACCCACACTGGACCAGCACATCCCCTTCCCAGAGCCGGAGTAGGAGAATGATCAGTAGGACAAGCCAAAAGCCGGCCTCAGCGGATGCGTCGGCTTCGTGGTGCAGAATTACAAACGCTGGAGGGCATGCATGAACTGCCTTGTGGCATGCTGGGCTTGAAGCACAGGTGAGCGAAACCGTGAAACCTGTTTTAACACTTGCAAAAAAAAACTGGGCCGCAAGACATGGCCCAAGGCCAGCAAGCAAAGGGCCGCAAAGCGATGCTGCGCCATGAGCTCTGTGATCGGTGTTTTGAAATAGTGAAATAGTGCGTGACTCGTGTGACAGGGTATGGGCACAATAGCTTTTTCATGTGTTGAGTGATGGAGTAATGCCCATGCTACCAGTAGTTCGGAGCGCTGCGCGGGGCTGTAGCAGTGCCTGTTGTCCCCCACTCTTTCCTGGAGCTCTGCGGCTGCTTTAGATGCACAGGCAAACGCTGAAATATGCTGAGATGCTGTACAGAAAACATATAGCCATGCCAGATAGGAGGCGGTTTGCCACGGCCAGAGGCTCAGAAGATTTGCGTTTCCGCGGCGACGATCTGTGACGCGAGCAGCACGCAACAGCTGGTACTTTCCAACGCAATTGTAGGGAATCCAAAAGGATACCATACGAGCCATGGCGTTGCATCATTCTGATTCATCACCAGGACCACATCTGAACTTTTTTACGCTAGTGTCAGGTTTGATAAAACCCACAAGGCACAGACAGAGCCGGTGAACTTGAAGGTCAATGACCGAACCGCCTGATTCCAGCTTTTCTTTTCTGAATGAAGGCTGCGCGAGGTGCGCCTGCTGGCCTGGCGCGTAGAAGAATTCTGGGAGTAATTTTCCAGAATGCTCTCAAGTTCCTCTTCGGAGAATGTCACTCTACTCAACTCAGACCCCAGAAGCCTTCCTGACAACGAAGCTAAGTACCCATCAGCGATGGGAATGCTGCTGATGAGTGCATCTGCTGGCACTATCGGCAAGCAGCGAACGTTGTTGACGGACTATCTTTGCTCACCTTCAAACTGCTTCAGGAGAGGGTTGTGCCTTCTATGAGTCCTCCCTTGCTACCGTCCCATATGCTTATGACAAAAAGGTTGCTCAACACCTGCCCCTCCCCCCCCGAAATTGTCTGAGACACGTGGCTGCTCTACACCACAAATCTCCATGACGGTACCACAGAAAGAAGGGATAGCACAAAATCTGTAGAATGGACACCCACAGTGGGACCCTCGTAGTGAACAGGCCCATTGTAGCAAACGTTGGACAAACGTGTCGGAGCCTTCCTCGCTGCGAGTCGCTGCTATCTTAACAGCTACGGCCCAAAACCCCTTGATCGTATGACTGAAATGGCAGCAGCCTTGGAGCCTAAGACTAAGTCAGCTGCTTCATAGAAAAGACGTGGTCCAACCATGCAAGGCTCTCCTGCGGAGGTGAAGCCTAAGCGAATTGGTATCCTGCAGCATCCTTTCGCATTTGCAGGAAAGCGCAGGACCTGGATAAAATGCTGATCTGAGGTTAGGCTGCATCGCTTGCGGACTCCTCCTCAGAGGATACGTCGTCCGAATCCGAGTCATGATATCTCCTAAGGGCACCCACCACGGTCGGACAGCAGCCGTAAAACTTTATGGGAGGATGAACTTCGTCATGCAGCCCCAACGAGCATCGCCGTAGAATTCTCCCGACTTGTCGAGACCGTTCTTGGCCGTCAACCCACTTTCGAAACATGCCGGTCTCCGTACTGAAGACGAGGTCCTGCAAGCCTCCACATCTGAGAATTATTTTCAACGCCCACAAAATCGCTTAGATACATCAGTGCGACACACTTCCAACCGCAGAACCTACCCCGACTACTGCCACCAGCAGCACCAGCAGCAACATGCCGCTGTCACCACCACATCCACCACCAACTCCAAGATAGAAACCCCTAACCTCTTGTGCATCCGAGAGTCGTTCGTTGAACGCGGGAACATCTGCAATCTTCGATAAGATCATGTCTTTGTCACGTGGAGATGAAGCCGAGCACTCGCGGACGTCAAGCAGAGCAAGCCTGTCATAGTTCCGGTCAACTGCTTCTTGCGAAGGAACCTCTATTCGCGATGGGATCTGCAGCACGTTCGCTTCCACGATCTCCGCTACGCACCATGCCCTGTACAGAACCTCAGAACGTGAACGAAGCACGTGCACGAATAATTTTGAAAAGCTCTTCATCAGACTGCTTGCGTCTGGCTGTAAGCTTCGCCTCAAAGTGGTTGTCCACCACAATCAGCTGGCCGAAGCCTTCGACCTGTTTGAGGGGGCGGAAGCCTTCCGTTTACCCTTCCTTTTACCCCTGGCTTCTAGCAGCCGAGATGCTGCTTCATCCACGTAGATATGCTTCATCATATCCTACGTTGCTTTTTCCGACTCGACATAACTAGTGAAAGGTGCGGGGGGCTGGCTTCACATTTGCAAATGCATCCGAGCAACATCGAACTTGTTCAGCTCGCACCTTGGGTCTTCGTTTCCCTCGTGGCAGAAGATCTTCTCCAGCGTGCACGTGCAAGGAGTGAAGGGCTCCGCAGTGACAGAGTCGCAAGTCTTTGCATGCCAAACTTTCCACTCAAAGGTGTTTGGCGGAGGCTCTCTCCCAAAGCCTCCACAAATGCTTGCATGCTGGTTCACGGAGAAGGCCTGAGTTTCATGGCAGCAGATTCTACTTCAGCACGCCTAGCTCTTTACAACAAGTCCTGAATTTTGAGCTGATTAAGCAGCAGCACGCACACCCAATACGTGAGATCCAGCTTGTCAGCCAGCTGTGCCCTGAGCTCCGCAAAGCCGGGCTTTGTAACGATCTGTGACACGATCTCGTCGTACGTGCTGCCTCAAACAGTCCCCATCCAGAGACTCCCCCAGGCAGCACATGTCTATGAACGCAATGCAAGTAAGCCCTCCGCAGCTGAGGGCATCTGCCAGGATGCCCGCCACCTTAGAAACATGCTGTCCCAGCACTTCATGGGGCCATGAAGAGCCATGAAGGTCGAGGAGCCAGGTTGGAGAAGGTGTTCGTCCAATTGTGTGTCACCATAGTTCGAGGCAACACTCCCTCACCCTCAGACCACAAAGAGGCCAAAGCGAAGCCCTCGTTCTCAACTTTTGATCTGGGGATGATGGCGCGCCGCACAACGTCGTTTGTCAAGGACCGTCCTGGCTCAAAAGCGCAGAAGACACGACATTCTTTCATTTTTTGACGCGTCAACTTGCTTCGGCCCCTCTGTTGACAACGAGTGTCGGGGATCGAAACGTGGCATGTACTCGTCCCCCTCTAGGAGCTGTTGCCAGAAGTCCAGGAGGGAGCCCAAGCGGAAGCCGCGTCGTGCCAGCTGTCGCACGACAGCCATGTAGACTGCCTGAGGCGACATCAACCCCTTTGAGAAGCGGAGGTGCTTGTGAAGATCGGCCTGATCATCAACGGCTAGATTGGCTGACATGGATGACAGCCCTCGTGATCGCGAACGTGATCTGGTCCTTGGCGCTTTCGGTTCAGCGTCGCATAGTGCAGAAGCAAGGCAGAAGCAGAGGAAAGATTTCACTTCTGAAAGTGCCAAAATGAGCATTGCTGAGCTCGCATCTCCGCGTCGACATCTGTAGGGGGCTCATCCTGCCAGAGGATGCCAGACAACAGCGCCAGTGACAGCGAGTTGATGCCCTCAGCTGTCTTCCAGGCAAACTCCACACACACACACACACACACACTTTGTGCCACAATCCTTCGATACTAAAGGCAAGGTTCGACATCAAATCGGCGCATGGCACCTCATCCCGCTGGGAAGCGACATGCAAAAGAAAAGCATCTTTTTGGAG